CTGGTCATGCCGCTCATCATCCGCCGTCGTCGCCGTCGTGCGTTCCTTCCCGCCCACTCACGGGGCAGCCGCCCGTCCGCCTCCAGGACCAGTAACCATGAACGTGCGCGACCAGTACCGCCGCAAGTGTGGAACGAGAGCTTCAAGGACCCCTGCCATGCGCCGGCTCTCTCGTCGATCCCTCACGGGTTTGCGCTGACTGCGTCATCGCAGCCTGCGGGCCCAACGCCTTCGCTGCGCCAGTCTTTGGGGATAACGGCGAACGTCTGACATCTAACGGTACGGCGTTGATATCTTTGGAGTCGGTCTAGGACCCTGGGTTCCTGGTGATTGTCGCGAGAGCCCTGGGAGGTACATGCAGATAAAGGCGGGGAGACAGTGGGGGGAGCGGCGACTGTGTCGTCAGCGCTTCGAGGGAGGGCGAATCGGATCTGGGAGAATCCGTTTTTGATTTCTTGGAGCATGACCTTTCGCCTTGCCCGCGCATTCCCTGCAGTTTGGCAGTACTGGCCCTCGATGCGCGCTCCTTTGGACGATCGTGCTGTTGTCGGCGTTCTGCGCAGTAACAACGCGACATACGAGCAGCATTCCTTTGACAGCGTCACGGGATGTTGCACGCGACAGAAGCATGCGCCCAATGCGCATATATGGAGGATAGCATCCGGGTCAAGTATCCACAGCGTCTCGGGGGCGCATTTCCCGAGCAGCGCCGCTGGTGGATCCTCGGGTTTAAGCGCCTCTGCGACGCGTGGAGGGAGCTTCTCTCTGGATGGATGGCCATCGGAGCGGGCGTGGACGCTGCCGGCTCTCTCTCCTGCTTGGAAGCAGGCGGCGTCTCAACGCGCGACGCTTACGCGCCTGGGGGCCCGGCCAGCAACCTCGAGTGCCCTTCCGGCTGGGTGCGCGAGGTGATGATTTGGTCAGTGGCGAGTTTACATTTCATCGAGCTCCGCCAGGCGGCCTACGTCTCGTCGCGCTTCGCCGGCATGGCGCACGAGCGCGCGGAGGAGTGGCTGCCAGCTGTCCTGATCCAGGGAGGTTTCATCGACGGCAACCCAGTGTCGCCGATTATTTTTCTCGTGCGCAGTTTGGCCGAAGGGCGTGGCCACCTGTGCGAGGAGGAGTGGCGCGCTTCGGCGGTGTCAGCACGTTTGCACGTCAGAAGACCGCCGCCAAACCGCATCGACAATCTCCTCACACGGTTCGGCATCTCGCGCAATTGGGCGCAGCAAGCTGGCCAATTCATGATCGGCTACGAGGGCCTCGGCTTCCTCTCGCCGCGCGCCGTTGGCGCGTCAACCGCCCAACCGACTATGATCTTGCAACGCTGCGACATGGCCTACCCCTGGAACGCAGCTCCGCTTACGCACGTGACGGGCCAGCCGCGACGTTTCGTGCGCATGGCCGAGGGATCCCCCGGCAGCCACGCCAACAGCGCGCCTTCCTCACGGGTGCGCCCGCGCAGGATCAGGGTCAAGGTGCTTGCGGCGCCGTCGCTGGATCGAGCTGGGACGGCGTGGGTCTAGCTGCGCTGGGGGCGGCACCGGGCCCGCCTGCGCCAGCAGCCGCCGGCAACGCCAGTGCGGTGCCACCAGCGCGGGGCATTCCCGGCAGCAAGTGGCACCGACGCCGACACCGTCTGCTCCTTCGTCGACGACGCTGCCGCAGAAAATCCCGAACGACGCAAGTTGCCTGCGGAACCATGCGGTGCGTGCTTCTTCTGGGCTAGCGAGCGCGCCCAAAAACGCTGGTGCCGCGTCGGTCATCCTAAGCCCACGCGCCGCGCCCGGAGGGTCATCGAACCAAGCGGCAAGGTTCAAGGTAGCGGCTGCCGCGCCTTTCAGGCCAACGTGTCTGAAAACCATTTCTGCGAGACCTTCGTGGGTTTCGGGAAGGGCAAAGGCAAGGGAATGGGGAAGTTCATGATCAGTGGCATGGGTTCGGGCCGGAAAGGCGAGCCCACTGGTCCTGACGGGGTGCGGCTCATGCTGCGAGTGCGAGTCGTAATTGCAAGATTTGCTTCTGGAGGCCCTCATAGTGGTTCTCTTGAAGCTGTGTTGTGCCAGCCACGGGGTTTCGTGGGCTGTCTTGAAGCTATCGAGGAGGAAGGGGGGGAGGAGGAACGCGGGTGAGGAGGAGGAGGAGGAGGAGGAGGAGGAGGAGGAGGAGGAGGAGGAGGAGGAGGAGGAGGAGGAGGAGGAGGAGGAGGAGGAGGAGGAGGAGGAGGAGGAGGAGGAGGAGGAGGCACATGGAAGAGAAAAAGAGAACGCGAGAGCGAGGATTTCCAACCGGATTTTGTTTCGAGGCAGCCGGGCCAACAAGGCTTCACAAGCATTTTGGAGAGCCAGTGCTTTCAAACAAGATGGGTTGTACTGTGCTCGTGCTGTCAAACACGGTGGGGGCATTCACTTTCGAACCCTACTGAAATGCTGAAGAGCTGAGCCTGGCTAGAACCTAAGCGCGAAGCGCGCGCGGTTTTAGTATTTATGTATATATAAACATATAGAGACTTATATATATAGATACAACTGTACGTTTGCGTGTGTATGTGTGTGTATATATATATATATATATATATATATATATATATACATCGATCCCCGGGGGACAGCGCTGGTGGCTGCCAGGACGGCCTCTCGACGCGCCGTGGGGCCGTGGGGCCCCAGGAGCGGGTTGGGATCGCGCTGGGAGGCTGCAGACGCCCCTGGAAGGCGCCAAAAGAGCTCCAAGAGCAGTCCAAGAGGCCTCCAAGGCAGCTCAAGAGCGATCCAAGGCGCCCAAAATTGCCCCAAGAAGACCCCAATACCGCATCAAGACGGCCCAAGAGGTCCCCCAAAGGAGTCAAGAGGACCCCAGGATGCACGAAGCATTGATGCATATGGTGTTTTTCGATCTGATTCACGTGACCTTCTTTTCGAGCTCCCCATGCTCCAAGATGCCCCAAACCGGCCAAGACGCCTTCAAAGGGGTTCCAAGGCCAGTCAAGACGGCCCCAAAACGGCCCACGAGGCGTCCAGGACGGGTCTGGCGAGCCCCAAGACGGCCCCAAGAGGGGTGCCCTCCCGAAAAACTAAGGTTCTCAGACCACCTCATGGTGCCCAAACATTCATTTTGGAGCGCGACACATCCGCCTGAGCATAGTAGTGTTTGAAGAGGCCAGGCGCCCCTCTACCATTACAGCTGCCATGGAGTATTAGTAATGCTTACGGTCGTGTTGACTGAATAGTACTGGCAACGAGCATTCGCACTTGCATCAAAATCATTCGACACCAAATGAGACGTGGACGGTTGTATTTGACGGCGATGGACAGGTTGCATTCCTGATGGAAGCTGTACCAGCACGTACCATTTACGATGGTTGTTGTAGTCGTTGCATCCGTTGTATCGCTACTCGTGTCTGTCATTGCAGTTGGGTAGCTGAACACAATCAGGCACTCGCTGTTGTACCCTACGTGCTCGTCATACACAGTACAACAGACGTCAACCTCACGAGCATCATATCATCATCCAGACCGCGGCGTAGCCTCAACGAGGAGGGGATTCAGAAATGGAGGTTTCAGTTTTATGTTGTTTTCCCTCAAAAGGAGGTCGCGTGATGGGGCTGGTGGTGGTCCTGTATCCAGTGTGGCTGCTGCTGCTGCTTTTCCTCGTCCTTCTTCCTCTCCTCTCCTCTCCTCTTGCGACGATGGTCGCTTGCGACCACCGTGCTTCCCAGGGTGATGACAACAGAATCTGGGCCCGCTAACGGGAGCTATTGCTCCCAAGTCTTCCTTCCCTCCTCCTCCCCTCTCCTCGCCTCTCTTCTTCTCGCCTATACTACCTGGAAAAAGGGTCCGTCTCCTCGCGCGCGGTCCGTCCCCCCGCGCCTTTCAAGTTCAATGTTCGCGCGGGACGCCGTGCGGTCCGATTTTTCCACCACTGGCCACGGCTGACTCGACATCGAGCTCGGCAGTTCAGGGGGGACAAAGACGCTGAAATGCGAGCCGCTTTGGGCTCAGGGGGTGCTTGGGTTCTCGGACCGTTCCCGAGATTTATGCCGCGGAGCCTGCTTATATGTCCCAGGCTCGCCGTGGCCAGAAGAGCCCCGCCGTTCCGTCTTGTGCGTTCCTGCTGGTGCCGCGAGGACTGCTGTCCGCCCTTCCGACCGCAGGCCCGGCGGGCGGCGGGGTCGGGCGGTCCGTTTTTCCGCCCCCCGGCGCGGCCGGGGGCAATGGAGCGGAGGAAGCTCCCGGACGTCACCACGGGCCGAGGTGTGCCGCAGTCCGCGTGGGATCTCGCCCTCGTCCTCCCCACCCCCCTGCATTGACCTCCTCGTATCGTTCGGGTAGGAGACCGACTGCAGAATTCATTTGCCCCCACATTTTTTGTCCGTCGATAGCAGGTGTATAATGTCCAGTATAATGTCAAGTTTGGGGTACATCGATTTTGCAGTCGATCTCTTGCTCGAATCGTGTAAAGACAACGACGGGAGGTTTCTGGCCATTTTCGGCCTCCAGGGGCCCTCATTGGGCCCTGGGACTGTCACACAGCTACTCGGGATGAGAGGCCGGAGTTTGGGACGGGGGCTACTAGGCCTCCGGAAAGCCGCGCCGTGAACGAATCGCGATCGCGACGTCGGGCAAACGGGTGCTGTCGGACGGGGCCATGACGAGGATAATCCGTTCCAGAGCGTTCCAGAAAGCTCTCAGAGCGTTCCAGAACGCTCTGAGAAGGCCGCGGCGCCCGAGACATCCTCCCGAGCAGCTGGATCCGAGATATTCTCGACGTATCCTCACCCGATGGTATCTTCGTCCTGGCCTCGTCGAATTGCCGCTCTCCACCCCTCCCCTGTTGCTGCTGCTCCTCCTGTCGCTGCCCCGTCCCATTGCCTCGCCGTCCCTATCCCCCTGCCTCCTCCCCTTACTACGTGACGATGAAGTTCACGATGTAATCGAGATCGTTTTTCCGAAATGAGAACCTGAGCCAGCCTGAGTGCCAGAGCGGTGATTGTCCCAATCTCCCATCCCCCTTTCCCTTGTGCCCGTCTGCTCCCCCTGGCCCTCCTCCTCTCCCCGTCTCCGTTTTTCCTTTCTCCAGTGGGTGCAGTCGGTGTTGTGGTCTTATGTCACGCGAATGTACGTGCATGGCTGTACACAGCAATCCCCCGCCGACCCCTACCAGAAAGGGGAACGTGGAAGTCGTTCACTTCATGGGCGACACAGAAGAACAGTGTGGACGGTGCAGCAGACGATGATCGAAACCCTTCATTTCCCCCTCAGTTGCCGCGGGGGAGTGTCCCACCAGAAACGAGCAGTCAGCTGTACGTGGTGCCCAAGGGATGGCAACCTCCGCGGCGGGTAGATTCCGATCGCTGGCCATAGGGGCTAATCACAAAGTCAGCCAGAGTCGCAGGCTCGCCCCCCAACTCCTCGGAGGGCTCTTGGGGAGCAGGATGGGCCAGGGGGACCAGCGCGGACCATCGCTCCCCAGAGGCCCGTTTCGCATCCCCTGTTGATATCGGGCATGACCAGGGCGGGGATGGGGAGGGGGGGAGGTGGGCTGGTGACGTCACGATTTGCTCCAGGAATGCTTAGGACTGGCTCATTCCACGACGGCCCCCGCGCGAATCGTGACGTGACCAAGGGGCTGAGGGGGGGGTGCGGGGCCGGTCACGGGCATTATTGGGAATCGCAAAAATCGAGCTCGTATCAGCCACAAGATCAGTGGCCGAAAACATGTTGAGACCGAAAACGCGTCTCGAATTGTGACTGGAAACGTAGTGTGACCGAATTTATGTCCGAAGCTGAACACAGCATTGGAAACAAACCAACAAATTTGGCCACACCCGGTCGCGCTCGGAATACGTCGGGCGCCGGTTTCGGGCACGATTGGGGATGTTTTCGGGCACAGCGTCGGGCAGTACACACCTCTGATAGACACGAGGCTACCTGAGAGTCTGGGTGTCAGGAGCGCGCCCGGTCGCGCACCGCATCGCCGATACATCGCCAGTGCGGCGCGATGTGGAGCCTGATTTTCTCCATGCCGACGGCGCCGACGCATCGCCGACGTCGCCGATGCAGCACCGATGCATCGGCGATGCATCGGCGATGCGGGGCGATCCTGTGACTCTATCTACTCCGACCCCATCCGAGAGGCCTCGATCGATGGCCCCTGGGCCCCCGTCCGCGCGGGATGGCCGTCCCCGCTGGCCTCTGCAGAAGGCTTCTGCTCTCTGCCTGTTTGTCCCAGCGATGGGGGGTGTCCGGGCGTCGGGAGCGCGCCCGGTGGCGCGCTCCCGCCTCCGGCGCCTCCCGCGAGGCCGCAGCAGCCCGCCGCGCACCGCCCTCGGCCGGCCCCGCCCCCCGTGCGGCGAGGACGGGGCCGTGAGGTGACCGAGAGAAGTCTTGAGTTTGGGTCCCCCTCTCTTCACTCGGCGGTGAAGAGGACCGGTCTGCACAGCATGAGTTCTAAGACTCCTCTCTCCCCTGATGACGTCCGGAAGATCTCGGGCCCCACTCCGCGTGTTGTTTTTCACACAGGATCCCCAGTAACTGGGTTTTCGCTGGTTTTGTTTCAAATGTTCCCGCTGAAGCGCTTGCCTCATTTTCGGGTTTCCGCTCGTTCCGAATCGTGCTCCTGCTGCAGCGCTGGCCTCATTTCCGCGCTTCGGCTCGTTCTGACTCGTGCTCCCGCTGCAGCGCTGGCCTTCTTTCCCATCGGAAATGATTACACATTCGGAGTCGATTCGTTGATGTTTTTTTGGCCGCAGAAGCCCCCCCCCACTTTGTGGTGCCGTTGATTTCAGGAAGTATCAAGTGGGAGCCCCGTTTCTGCTTTGAGAAGGTGATGTTGAAAGCAGAGCCAGCGGGTGCTCTCCATCAGCCCCGCCTTGCGTGGAGCTTTTGGGGGAGCCCAAGGAGCTAGACATGGAGCCACGACTTCAGACCGGTCCAGACCTCTCGAAAACGATCCACTTAGCCTCTAAAGAACCTGGCGCCATGCCATGACATGCTGTGCGGTGTTGTGTTCTGCGCCGCTGTGCGATGCCATGCTTTGCGTTGCAATGCTTTGTGGTGCAATGCTTCTCTGCGCAATGCCACGCTACGCTATGGCACGTTACGCTCTGCCGTGCTCCCCATACGCCATGCCATGCCGTGCTGTACCATGCATCGCGTACCCTCTCGAGATCATTGCCCTGCTCGACATTCGATTGTGCGAATAGAGAGGGGATCTACACCGTTGTAAGGGATGGGAGGGAGGGATAGGACGTCAGATATGATGCGAGGGCACCTAGCTTGCCCTTCTCCCCCTCTTTCTCTTCCTCCTCCTCCTCCTCCTCCTCCTCGTCATCCTCCCGCTCCTCCTCGTGTCATTCCGAAGGAGGGAGAGGATGAGGAGGAGAAGAAGGAGAAGGAGGATAATATGATGATGATGATGATGATGATGATGATGATGATGATGATGATGCTGATGATGATGATGATGATGATGATGCTGATGATGATGATGATGATGCTGATGATGATGATGATGATGATGATGATGATGATGATGATGATGATGATGATGATGATGATGATGATGATGATGATGATGATGATGATGATGATGATGCTGCTGCTGCTGCTGCTGCTGCTGCTGCTGCTGCTGATGATGATGATGATGATGATGATGATGATGATGATGATGATGATGATGATGATGATGAGATGATGATGAGGATGATGATGAGGATGATGATGAGGATGATGATGAGGAGGAGGAGGAGGAGGAGGAGGAGGAGGACGATGAGGAGGAGGAGGAGGAGGAGGAGGAGGAGGAGGAGGCGGGTGCCGCGGAACAAATAATTAGGTACCCCTACTCGTGGGACCCCAGTCCGTGAATATGACTTCCAAAAAAGTGATTCGTTACCCCATTTTGGGGAGGGGTGCTAAATGCCTGTCTCGGTTAATCTGCACGGTTGCTCGACATCGGCATGCGAGTGTACCGGTGCAGTCCCCAGCCGGTTTCGAGAATCGATGTGCGTGTCGCCCGATGCATTCGGTTGTTTTTGGGCGTCGATCAGTGGTGCCGCCTGGGTGCACTCGGAATGTGGTGCCGCGCGCGCGTGGACTGCCTCACCAGCTTTCGCTAAAGGGTGCTTTCGCTAAAGTTGTGGTGTACACAGGCGCAGTGGGGCATATCGCCACCTACATGCTGCTCGCATCGTCGTCGTCGTCGTCGTCGTCGTCGTCGTCGCTCGTCGCTCGTCGATCGTCGCTCGTCGCGTCGCGCGCGCGGGCGCGGCTGCAGTGCTGGACCTCGCCCCCCCCCCCCCCCCCATGACGCCCGTCATCGCCGAACATGAAGGAACGCGCTCTAAACGAGCTTCTGTCAGTTTTCGAGAGGAGGGTCAGAGGAGGGAGAGATACGTAGCACCCCGCACATGCGGATGAGATTGTGGAGGTGGCGGCGCAGAAGACAAGGAGGTGGATTGCGCGGACATTCGCACACAAACTGCCCGCGCAAGGTCGCGCGCGAGCGCCCTCGTTTCTTCCGTAGCGTGCTGTGTTGGCGGCCAGCGCAAGTCAACGCGTAACGTCCTGATGTCATCTTGCGTGAGACCCGTTTCTTCTCTTCGCTCAAGTGTCGATCCCACCTGCCGCTCCCAAGTGCTGCCCCCCAAGTGCAGTGGAAACCCATGCCAAGAAACGCCCTGCTTCCCTCCAGGGTGCCCTGGGTTTCTTTGTGTTCGATGGTTTTGACATGGAAAGCGTGACGTTCCCACACCAAAAATCAGTGGGCGCCCTGGGGTCGCAGGGTTGGGCTTCCTGTGGAAGGTTTCTTGTGGTCGAGCTCCTACTGCGTCGCCCCCACTCGTCGCCCCCACGCGTCGCCCCGGGCCCTCTTGGGGCACGCTTGATCTTGGAGGAGATCGATCAAAGAAGGGTGGTGGTGGTGGTAAATTGCAGCATGGGCCCAACACCTAAGTCAAATCTATGAGTTGTGCCTTCTCGCCGAGGCCATCTTGGACGCTCCCATGGGTCGCGAAACTCCCGGCCCAGTCCAGGGGGATGGATATGGGAGGGGTCGAGCTACCCTCCTAGATAGCAGGCCGTGTGGCTCACTTCCACCCGCCCTCCCATCACATGAGTAACACCCGAGTATCAGCAGATCGCATAGGGACGCCACACATGCCATGCGCGCCACGGGTTCCAGGTGGAGGCCCAAGCGTGCCAGGTGGCACACGCTCCACGTGCGCCAACTGTGCCACGTGCTCCAGCCGCGCCAGGTGCGCCAGCTACGGGGAACCGATAGGGACCCCAGGTACCTGCGGCCCTTGCCCCAAAGAGTTCAGGATCTTGAATCCCCCAAGAGCGAAGTGCTGAGCCTTCTGCGAGAAGGGCGGCTCTTCCGGGGAGCGCAAAGCACTGGCACCGATGGACAACTTGTGACATCTTGAGGAGTCGTGAAACAGATGGGAGCTCAGAGAAAAGAGGGCCCTGCTCATGCTCCAGATTTGAAGCCAAAGTGCAGCAAGCAATCTGCCGGCATCCCCCACCGCCCCTGTCAAAAACCAATGCAAAGTGGTCGCGGGGGCCCGCGCATGCGCCAGATTTGGAAGCAAAGTGCATGCTCTATTGTTTTACGATGGATGGTGGGGGGTTGGGCTCATTGGTCTGGGTTGGCTGCCGGTCGCCCAGGGGATTTTTTATTTACAAAAGAAAAGGGAACAGTGATAAACCCTTCCCAGAAGGGGAAGAAGGGGGTTGGAAAGAGAAACGCGCTAAACAACTCACGCCACAAAGGGCTGGTGGGATTTTCGCCAAGGCGGTGTAAGACATGGAATGCGACCCGTCTTTCGTAGTTCCATCTGGCCAGGGCCTGCGGTGATGTCTATATTTAGTTTATGATGACGTCGTTGTCATGATTGTGGTGGTGGTTCGGATGATGTTGATACCCGTCGAAATTACAATGCAGCTGGCTTCGCAGGAAGCTTCGGTCCATGGAGTTGGAGTATCTGCGCAAGAAACGCTGGTCTCCCAGGCAGGAAGGCACACGCTCCGAGACTGCGGCCTGACGGTCGCGCCCGCGACCCGCGTCCGCTACAGCGACGCGGACAGACGAGGCGCAACCTCACCGATCACCGGCACTACATCACCATCACCATAGGCAGGAACATCGCCAAGCACTTGGGCTGGATGGGCCCTTGAATGACGAGATGCGATGCGCTTCCCCCCATCGCCGTGAAACAAGTGTTTGATGGGGAATGGGGAGGAGCTGGAGCAGCCGGAGCATGAGCAGGGATGAGCAGGTGGATCAGGGCGGGGGGCAGGATCAGCAGGAAGGTGCAGGGAGTGGTGAGGAAATGGGGGGAGGGTGTGCCGGGTCGCAGGTGTGAGCGCGGATGCCGCGTTTTGGTGACGGTCGGCCAGCCTCTCACCCCTGAGAGGTGCTGGGCAAGGGAGGGAAGGAGGGAGGAAGCGGCCCGAGCCAGAAACGATGAAATGGCTTGAGCGCGCACTTGGGTTGCTGTTATTGCGCTCGATTCATATTTCTTGCACTTTTCACTCTCATCGAGGAGCGAGGAGGGGCCGCCTCTCTGCCTCGAGAGCCTGAGGCGCGGACGGCGGGGCCGCCGCCGAGCTGGGCGCCGCGCTGCGCGGAGCCGCCTCGGCGGCCGACCGCTCCGCGGGGGCCGCCTGCGAGCCCTCCAAGGGTCTTTCGGGCGGCCGAGCGAATCGTCGTCGCCGAGGTTCGAAGAGGGCTTTTCGCTATCGGTCTGCTGCCTGTGTGTCGGCGGCGCGCGGAGGGGGGGGGGTATGGGGGGAGGGCTTCCCAGAAGCATCCTTGCATCCTAGAAGGCGCGGGCCTTGTCCATACATGTAGGGCTGGCGCCTTCTAAGAAGCGACCGCCTAAGAAGGCTTTTCACCCTCCCTCCACCCCCTTGTGCGCGCCGCCGAGAGGTTCGGAGAGATTTTTGGTCAGGTTGCTGCCCGTGTGGGCCCGTTCGGGCCCCTGGGCTGCCAGAGACTGACCTGGGACAGGGCCCGCGGACGACTTGTGTGCACCGTGCCGCGTCGGCGTGTCCCGAGGCGCCGTGGGTCCTCGACCCAGGAGCGGTGCGGTGCTCACTTTGCCGGCCCTGGGGCCGAAGCGCTATGCACCGTACCGCCTTGGAGCGGGGCCCGAAACGGAGTCCAAACATTCTGCACGAACGAGATGGGTACGGAAAGAATGGGTACAGTGCCCAACAGCAGTTCCTGTTCATTTTGAGCAGGACTCGCTGTCCGCGCCGCCGCGGCCTGTGTCCACTTGAGATAGAAGGCCGCCTGCCCAACAGCGCCCGCTGTTGGTTTGGGACAACATGTGTTGTTGGGCATTTACAATTTTTCCGTACCCATTTCAGGCGTTCAGATACATGGTACTGTGCATGGGCGCCGTTCTCGTATCGGCGTCGCCGAGGTTGGAAGATGAGAAGTTGTTTGTTCGCTATCCTTTTGCTCTTTCTTCTGGGCCCGTTTGGGCCCCTGGGCCGCCAGGGATGAATCCGGGATAGAGGGCAGCTCGGGGTGGACCACGTGAAGCGTCCGGGAGCGATTACGAGCCGACTTCGCCGAGCCCATCCGAATCCCACGCCAAGGTGCACGATTTCAACGCAAGTGCAGCAGAGGTCGGAACAGACGATCCTCTTTGTCAAGCAAAGATCAGGTTCACTTGGAGGGCATCAGTTTCCTCGCCAACTTGCTGCTGTCACAGACGAATCGATGTGATTTCCCACCTCCCATCCCCCCATCCCTCTCTCCCTCTATCCTTCTATCCACGCCCTTCCTTTCCCCTCGACCACCCCCACCCTGGTCGTCGGCAAGCCGCCGCGGCGGCGGCGCCGTCGTCGTCGTCTTCGTCCTTATTGCGGTCGTCGCCGCGTCGTCGTCGTCGTCGTCGTTGCGGTCGTCGTCGCCGTCGCCGTCGCCGTCGTCGTCGTCGTCGTCGTCGTCGTCGTCGTCGTCGTCGTCGTCGTCGTCGTCGTCGTCGTCGTCGTCGGCGTCGGCGTCGGCGTTGGCGTCGGCGTCGGCGTCGGCGTTGGCGTCGCCGTCGCCGTCATCGTCGTCGTGGTCGTCGTCGTCGCCGTCGTCGTCGTCGTCGTCGTCGTCGTCGTCGTCGTCGTTGCGGTCGTCGTCGCCGTAGTCGTCGTCGTTGCGGTCGTCGTCGCCGTCGTCGTCGTCGTCGCCGTCGTCGTCGTCGTCGCCGTCGTCGTCGTCGTCGTCGTCGTCGTCGTGGTCGTCGGCAAGCCGCCGACGGCGGCCGGCGCTGTCGTCGTCGTCTTCGTCGTTCATTTCGCGGTAGTCGTCGTCGCAGTACGTTGACGTCGGTCGTCGCGTCGTCGTCGTCGTTGTCGTGTCTTTGTCGTCGTCGCGGTCGCGTGCGTCGCCTTGGTCGTCGCCGTCGGCGTCGCCGTCGGCGTCGGCGTCGGCGTCGGCAACAAAAAAAAATCGGCCTGCGGCGTCGGCCGTCGCCGTCGACGTTCTCGCCGTCGTCGTCGTCGTCTCGAAAGCGCGGCGGCGGCGTGCACGTGGCCGACTTCGTGTCATTGCGGTCGTGCTGGTCGTCGCAGCGTCGTAGTCGTCGTCGTCGTGTCGTCGTGTCGTCGTCGTCGTCGTCGTCGTCGTCGTTCGTCGTGCGTTGCGTCGTCGTCGCCGTCGTCGCGTCGTCTTTGTCGTCGTCCCGTCGTGTCGTCGTCGTCGTCGTAGTCATCGCGTCGCGTCGTCGCGGCGTCGGCACCCCCGTCTGGCGTCCCGGCCGTCGGCGTCGGCGTCGGTGCGGCGTCGGCGTCGGCCTCGGCGTAGCGGCGTCGGCGTTGCCGGGTCGTCGTCGGTCCGTCGGCGGCGTCGGCGTCGTCGGCGTCGCCGTCGTCGTCCGCCGTCGGCGTCGGCGCGTCGTCGTTCGTCGTCGTCGCCGTCGGTTTCGGTCGTCGGGCAAGCCGCCGCGGCCGGCGGACGCTGTCGTCGTCGTCTTCGCCGTTATCGCGGTAGTCGTCGTCGCCGTCGTGCGGTCTCGTCGGCCGTCGTCGTCCCGCCCGGTGTTGTGTCTGTCGTCGCGTCGTCGTAGCCTTCGTCGTCGCCGTCGGGTTCCGCCGTCGGCGTCGGCCATTTTTTTTTTTTCTTCGGCGTCGGCATCGGCGTCGGCGTCGGCGTCGCCGTCGCCGTTCTCGCCGTCGTCGTCGTCGTCGTCGACAAGCCGCCGCGGCGGCGGCGCCGTCGTCGTCGTCTTCGTCGTCATTGCGGTCGTCGCCGCGTCGTAGTCGTAGTCGTCGTCTCGTCGGTCGTCGTCGTCGGTAGTCGTTGCCCGGTCGTCCGTCCGCCGTCGTCTCGTCGTCGTCTTTGTTACTTAGTCGTCGTCGTCGTAGTAGTCTCTGGCGTTGTCGTCGGAGTTGTGAGTCGGCGTCGGTGTTGTCGGCAGTCGGCGTCGGCGTCCGGCGTTCGGCCCCACCCGTCGGCGTTGCCGTCGGCGCGGGGCTGCCGGCGTCGGCGTCGGCGTCGCCGTCGTCGTCGCCGTCGGCGTCGGCGTCGTCGTCGTCGTCGTCGCCGTCGTCGTCGTGGTCGTCGGCAAGCCGCCGCGGCGGCGGCGCTGTCGTCGTCGTCTTCGCCGTTATCGCGGTAGTCGTCGTCGCCGTCGTTGCGGTCCTCGTCGCCGTCGTCGTCGCCGTCGTTGTCGTCGTCGCCGTCGTCGTCGCCGTCGTCGTCGCCGTCGGCGTCGCCGTCGGCGTCGGCATCGGCGTCGGCATCGGCGTCGGCGTCGGCGTCGCCGTCGCCGTTCTCGCCGTCGTCGTCGTCGTCGTCGACAAGCCCGCCGCGGCGGCGGCGGCCGTTCGCGTCGTCTCTTCGTCGCATTGCGTGCGGTCGTCGGCCGCGTGTCGGTCGTCGTCGTCGTCGTCTTTGTCGTCCGTCGCCGTCGTCGGTTCGTCTCTTTGTCGGCGTCGGCGTCGGCGTCGGCGTCGGCGTCGGCGTTGCCGTCGTCGTCGGCGTCGGCGTCGGCGTCGTCGTCGTCGTCGTCGCCGTCGTCGTCGTGGTCGTCGGCAAGCCGCCGCGGCGGCGGCGCTGTCGTCGTCGTCGTGTTCGTCGTTATCGCGGTAGTCGTCGTCGCCGTCGTTGCGGTCGTCGTCGCCGGCGTCGGCGTCGCCGTCGTCGTCGCCGTCGTCGTCGCCGTCGGCGTCGGCGTCGGCGTCGGCGTCGGCGTCGGCGTCGGCGTCGGCGTCGGCGTCGGCGTCGGCGTCGCCGTTCTCGCCGTCGTCGTCGTCGTCGTCGTCGTCGACAAGCCGCCGTGGCGGCGGCGCCGTCGTCGTCGTCTTCGTCGTCATTGCGGTCGTCGCCGCGTCGTAGTCGTCGTCGTCGTCGTCGTCGTCGTCGTCGTCGTCGTCGTTGCGGTCGTCGTCGCCGTCGTCGTCGTCGTCGTCGTCGTCGCCGTCGTCGTCGTCGTCGTCGGCGTCGGCGTCGGCGTCGGCGTCGGCGTCGGCGTCGGCGTCGGCGTCGGCGTCGGCGTCGGCGTCGGCGTTGCCGTCGGCGTCGGCGTCGGCGTCGGCGTCGCCGTCGTCGTCGTCGTCGTCGGCGTCGGCGTCGGCGTCGGCGTCGTCGTCGGCGTCGGTAGCAAGTCATGTGAGCCGTGTAGGTCATGGAAGTGTCACAGGAGGCTCCCTGAGGGGGATGCCGAGGAGGGGCGGAGCGGTGGCGGGGACGGGGCTGAGGGGCGCGTCGCGGCGCCCTCCGGCGCCGCCCCTCATTACCAGCCTGCCACGTGTCCCTGTCTTTCTGACTGCCATCGCCTTACTTTGATGCCGATCTCGAGGATCCCCCCCTGTTTCTGAGGACGCATCCCTCAGGTTGTCATCGCCTCCGTGCTTGTCAGCCTCAGGGACGGGGAGGACCCTCGAGGCCGGTTATTGTAGCTGCCCAGGCCCCGCCGCGTGCCCCACGGCGCCGCCGAGCGCGGTGGCCGCAGGGCGCCCGTGCCAGGCCCCACGGGCCACCCCTCTGCTGCCGGAG